TTGTACCAGGCACATAAATGTATAAAATCTGTGGATTGCATTATGTTAGAAAGTTTTGTAACACAGCAAATGGATAGCAATCCATTAACAGGGGCAGCATTATGCCTGTTTCATGTAACTATCAACTTTTACAGAAGCATCAGTTGGAAAGGCCTTATGTTTGCACATCGTAAAGACTACAGAGTTGTACTACCATGCTAGATTACCCGAAAAATAATCTCAATATCTCCTCTATTGGCTAATTCAACTAACACAATGTCATCTGAACGAGGAACGGCCTTAGGGAACTTAGCTGTACTGAACTAGTCATTACTATTCCGCCAAGTCTCCTGCAGTTGCAGTGCATACCAGAGGTTACCCAACACATCGTCCATCGATGGACGCTCAATCCCCTCATTACACACGCAATTTTCTGCATTCTTGACATATTCTTTCAAACATTCTGGTTTTGTTAGTTAGATATGGATCAATGATCTGATCTACGGTACCCATTTCGATATTAGTTTTGAACCAACAAACTAAACTCAGTTGATCCTTGTCCCTTGAATAGATCATTGGCTTCCTACCACATAATAGTTCAAGTAAGATAATGCCGAATGAGTACACATCGGATTTTATAGTAAATTTTGCATTGCCAAGGTATTCTGGACCCATATGTCCCACGGTGCTTATACTTGATTTAGTGTTGGGCACCACTTTGCCCTTCCAATACTCGTCCAACATATCCAATACTCGTCCAACATAATATTGGTCAGCTTCTGGTTGTGATGAATGATTGTTTGCCTTGTACCTGCATGGAGGTATTGCAGTCCTTGTGCAATACCAATACAAATTTGAAGTCACTTTTCCCAGTTAGGCGGATAATCGTTGGTTACATATAGGTGATGATGGAGAGACCCATGGACCAAATACTCGTACACAAGGATCAACTCTTACTTGTCGTTGCAGTATCCATTTAAAGAAACAATGTGGAGGTGACGGAGATGGGAGTGCACATGGATCTCTGTAGACATAAATTTTGAAACATGAAGTATTTTAACACATTTCAAAATTTTATGTTACAAATGTCTACTGTTTAGTTTTTGGACTAAACAGTGTTGATTATTTGAATAGCAGGTTCTTATTTCCGATCTGTATTTCAGATCCTTAATTACACATTTTAGACAAATGAAACCTCCGATTAATGAAGAACAAAATAAACAACAAAAGACAATTTAAGAAGAATAAATATTTTATTGAAATTGTTATGGGTTTTGAACCCTCGAATACAAAATACAATTCTTGGGTTTGGAACCCTTTACCTGTTCATCGCCATTAGATTAGGCTCTTGAGTTTTCTAGGCTTCTCTTCTTCTTTCTTGTAACGATTTCTTTAGCTCTCAATTTCTTTCTCTCTCTCTTTTTTCTTTTCGTTTCTGATTTTCTGATCCCTCGTCTTGTGTGATGGTCCTCATATTTATGGAGGCCATCAGGTGATAGGAATGCTTCATCTTCAAATTGAATGATAGCGCCATTTGAATTTTGAATAATAACGCTATTTGATTAATCGTATATCTGATTAATCGGATTGATCTTTGGGGTTTCATCCTGTGTGGTGTCCTTGCTGTAGGCTCTACAGGTGTTATCTTTCGTAGGCTCCACGTGTCATTTGAGTGTCTTGAATAACGTTGTTGAGATACAACGTCGTTTTATTTATGTACTTCAATGGATCATATTGATTTTTTTTTAGGAAGTGATTACCTACAACCTTCCTATCATAGGCTCTATACATGTCATAAATTTAGTTGAAATTTATATGCCAACAAATGCTCCTCGCGACCTATGTTACATGGACTCGGGTACGGATGTCGGGTGCGGGTATGTATCTAGAGGTCGGACTCATCAAATCATAAATTTAAGGATACGCGGACTTGGCAAAAAAATGTCATATTTTTATATTTTTAATCTAATATGTGAGATAAAATGGTATTATATTTAACTTATAGTGTCAAAATGACATTTATAGCAATTACACAACAATATGTACATATAATAATAGTGTTATATACAAATTATATAAGAAATATTCGTTGAAAAGTATCCGACACATATCCCATACCCTTGTCCGAGTGTCGAGTGTCCGACACGGGTATTTGATTTATTTTGAAGAGTCCATGTAACATAGCTCGCGACTTGCACAAGTGAATTTTCTTAACTGTGCGAGTCATGACAATTTTGGCACTTTTATCTGGATGATCTTTAGGTCTTTGATGGGATTATTTCTTTGCTTTGGTCCCTGGCCTTTTTTTTTGTTTTTTTTTTTTTTTGAGGGGGGGGTTGACGGCTCTTTTTTCGTGGGCCCTTTTACTTTTGTTGCATGGGTCCTTTTTGTGGATTTGATCTTTTTTTTTTTAAAATAAAGGGTTAATTGCCCTTTATAGTCCATGGGCCATTTACTTTTGTTGCATGGGTCCTTTTTATGGACTTAATTTTTTTTTTTGAAGGGTCATGTGTAAGGTCCAAGATTTAATTGGGCATTTCCTTTTGTGGGCCTCCAACTTGCCACCATTTTTTTTATGGTAGATTTTTTTTCTAGGCCATCATGGATTTTTCTAGACCATCATGGATCTTTCTTTTTCTAGGCCACAATTTTTTTAATTGGGCCTTTTCTTTTGTGGACCTCCAACTTGCCACCATTTTTTTTACAATAGATTTTTTTGTAGGCCATCATGGATTTTTCTAGACCAACATGGGCCTTTCCTTTTCTAGGCCACTATTTTTTAATTAGGCCTTTTCTTTTGTGGGCCTCCAACTTTCCACCATTTTTTACAGTAGATTTTTTCTAGGCCATTATAGACCTTTCCTTTTCTAGGCCACCATTTTTAATTGGGCCTTTTCTTTTGTGGGCCTCCAACTTGCCACCATTTTTTACAGCAGATTTTTTTTCTAGGCCATCATTTTTTAATTGGGCCTTTTCTTTTGTGGGCCTCCAACTTGCCACTTATTATTTTTAGGATTTTTTTACAACATATATATATATATTTTAGGAGTTTGTCTAAATGGAATAGGATGGATTGGCATTGGCAGGATTTCTAATCCTACACAAACTCTTACTTAGTATTTCAAATCCTACCTAAACTCTTGCTTGTTTTAAGTATTTTAGGTGAACACTACCTCCTTTTTTAAGCAAGAATTTTTGCTTATATGACACCTATCCATGCATATAGCCCACATATTTTCCCTGTAACTTTTTTTTCCTCCCAGCAGATTCTTTCCAGCAGCCTCTTTTTTTTTCTCTGCAGATTTTGTGGTGCATATTAGGTCTTCATTATTTTGGTATCTTTCCAGCAGCAATTGTTCTTTGAGTATACAAAAGATACAGCCCGTATATTTTCCCTGTAGCTTTTTTTTTCTCCCAGCAGATTGTTTCCAGCAGCCTCTCTTTTTTTCTCTGCATATTAGGTCTTCATTATTTTAGTATCTTTCCAACAACTTTCCAGCCATTATCTTTCTTCTTTTTCCAACAAAAGTTGTTCTTCTTATACTTTAAAGAAGACACAAAAGAATCTCTTCAAACTCCTTTAAATTAGGTATGCTTTCTTCTCCATAAAATATTTTCTTTCAGCATGTATATCACCATGTGACAGCCCTTCCCAAAAATTTTTACTAGACCCTAAGTCCAAGTAGTCCCGACAAAGACCCTTCTTGAAAGGATGAATAAGCTACTGCCTTATTTCATAACAAAAGCTGTAGCTTCTTTTCTTTTTATTATTTTACTATTTTTATTTTTACTTGAACAAAAAAACCTGCTGCCTTTCCAGCAGATTTTTTTTCCTAGCCCAAAGACCTTTTTTTTTTCACAGTTTAATTTGCTCTCTTTTTTTTTTTTACCTTCTAGCAGAAATTTTCTTCTCCATGAACCTTTTTTATAACCCATGAAAATTTCCATGAACCTTTTTATAACCCATATGAACCTTGTGTATAACCTGTTGCCATTAGCAAATATGGCCTAGAAATAAAGAGAGCCCATTTTTGCTAGACAACAAACCTAAAACAAAAAACTGCAGCCCTTTTTTTTAACTGCGGCCCCTTTTTTTAGCTGCTGCCCCATTTTTTCCTTGTTGCTTCTAGTCTATGAAGCACGGACACCTCTCCGAGGGCTCCGTACCAGTGTCGGACACGTGTCGGACACGGACACGCGTCGGACACGCGGTGGACACGTGTCGGACACGCACTAGAGAGTGTCCAATTTTTTTTTTATTTTTTCTGAAGCCGGACACGTCCAGGACACGTTATGGACACTTTCGGACACGCACGGGGCCAATTTCAGAATTTACAAAACATTTTTTGGGTCAATTTCAGAATTTACAAAATATTTTTGGGGTCAATCTGTAAAAAAGCAAAAAAAATTCTGTTTGCCCTAAATCGATCAAAAGCCCTAATCGATGTAAGAGCTTAGTACAGAACAAAAAGACAAAGAGAGAAGGCGAAGAAACAGAGGAGAAAGAGAAAGAGAACCTGAACCTGGGCTCGTCCGTCGCTCGTCATCGCTCGTCGCTGCTCGTCGCTCGTCGTCGCTCCTCGGCCGTCGCTCCTCGCTCGTAAGGTACATCTTCTTCCTTCCTCAGCTTCGGTCTTCTTCCTTCTTCTTCTGGTCTTCGCCAGTCGATGTCTCTCTCTCTCTGTGTCAGTCGAGGTCTCCTCTCTCTCTCTCTCTCTCTCTGTCTGGTCTTCGTCCATCTTCGACTTCGGTCTCTCTTTTTTTTTTTTTTTTCTATTTTCTTTTTATATTTTTTTCCCTATATTATTTCAGAATATATATATATATATATATATTTATTAATTAGTTTTGTTAATATGTAATATATATATATATATTTTATTAGTTTTGTTAATATATATATATATATTTTATTAGTTTTGCTAATATATATATATATATATTTTATTAGTTTTGTTAATTTTAATAATAATGTGTGTTTATTAATTTTATTATAGGAACAAATTTGTAATTCTGAAACAATGGCTACTACGGGTGGTAGTTCTAATGATATACCTGATGATGATTTTGATGAGAACAAACCATTGTGGAAGTATATAACTAAATTAGCAAAACCTGGGGAAGGAGGACGAAATTGCCAATTACAACGTAATTTTTGTAATAATACTTTCAAAGGTTCATATACAAGAGCAAGGGCACGCCTATTAAAACTCTCAGGAAAGGGAATTGGTGCTTGTAAGAAAATTACAAGTCAAAAACTTTCACAATTGCAAAATGAGAATGATGCTGTTGAACTGAGAATTAAAAATGCTCATCCCAAAAATGTACCACTACCCCCTTCTAGTGTATCAATTGGTAGTAGTTATGCTTATGAATCAAAGAAAAGGAGGACATGTGCAAGTGGGAGTGGAAGTGAGAGTGGGAGTGGAAGTGCGCCTGGGAGTGGGAGTGCTATTGAGAAAGCATTCAACATGAAGGATAGAGAGCAATTACATTTTGAAATTGCTAGGATGTTCTACTCAGGGGGGGTACCATTTAATCTTGCAAGAAATCCTTACTATGTTAGCTCTTACACATTTGCTGCAAACCATAATATTCCTGGATATTTGCCTCCCGGTTATAATTTGTTACGAACCACATTACTTCAAAAGGAGAGGGCAAATATTGATAGATTGTTGCAACCAATTAGGGGCACATGGAAGGAAAAAGGGGTGAGCATTGTTAGTGATGGTTGGAGTGATTCTCAAAGGAGGCCTTTGATTAATTTTATGGCAGTGAGTGAAAGTGGGCCTATGTTCATTAAAGCAGTTGATTGTTCTGGAGAAACTAAAGACAAATATTTCATTGCAAATTTGATGAAAGAAGTGATTAATGAGGTTGGGCCAAGTAATGTGGTTCAAGTCATCACGGATAATGCTCCTAATTGTAAGGCAGCCGGACAACTCATTGAAGCTCAATTCCCTCATATTCTATGGACTCCTTGTGTGGTGCACACATTAAATCTAGCTTTGAAAAATATTTGTGCCGCAAAGAATATTGAGAGGAATGAAGTCACATATGAAGAATGTAGTTGGATTACTGATATTGCCGGAGATGGTTTGATGATTAAGAATTTTATCTCTAATCACTCAATGCGATTGGCTATGTACAATGAATTTGTGTCATTGAAGTTGCTTTCGGTTGCCGAAACACGATTTGCCTCCACAATTGTTATGCTCAAGAGGTTAAAGCTTATAAAACGTGGTCTTCAAGCAATGGTAATTAGTGACAAGTGGAATTGCTATAGAGAGGATGATGTTGGGAA